GTAAGTCAGCGCTCAGGCCAAGGATTGGTGTTTTTTTTATCATTTATTGCTAAGATTGATATTATTATTGGTAATGTTGCCTTAGATGTTGAATAGGGGAATAATATAATTTTGAAGTTAAGTAATGGAAGTAAGTTAATAATAAATTGAGTGAGGAGGTGTATTATGGTATCCTAACTAAATCAATGACTGAGTTACGCCGGATTTAATGAAAACGGAATAATTTTGATATATGTGAAGGAGATTGTGTGAGAAAATTGTACCTTTACTTAAGTGCTGTTTTTTTTTTTATTATTCCGTGTGTGTGTGTGTGCGTGTTAAATAGATCCACAGGTTTGATTTATTAAACAGGAGAACTGAAAGAAGGCTGGATTCAACATTCCACAGTGAAACATTAGACAACTCTTTTTTTTCTATCTTAATTATCTCCTCAAGGTATCTTGGGCACGAACCGGCCACACTGAGCAAGAAGGGAGACGGGCGTGAGAAGAAAGGGGAAGAGAGGGAAGGGGAGGAGAGGGAAGGGGAGGAGAGGGAAGGGGAGGAGAGGGAAGGGGAGGAGAGGGAAGGGGAAGAGAGGGAAGGGGAGGAGAGGGAAGGGGAAGAGAGGGAAGGGGAGGAGAGGGAAGGGGAAGAGAGGGAAGGGGAGGAGAGGGAAGGGGAAGAGAGGGAAGGGGAAGAGAGGGAAGGGGAGGAGAGGGAAGGGGAAGAGAGGGAAGGGGAGGAGAGGGAAGGGGAGGAGAGGGAAGGGGAAGAGAGGGAAGGGGAGGAGAGGGAAGGGGAGGAGAGGGAAGGGGAGGAGAGGGAAGGGGAGGAGAGGGAAGAGGAGGAGAGGGAAGGGGAAGAGAGGGAAGAGGAGGAGAGGGAAGGGGGGGAGAGGGAAGGGTAGTAATGTCTGTCCAGCGAAGGTATAAATGAAGGAATCATGATTTGTTTACACACACGCATGGACATACGCACGTACTTAATTATGCATGGAAAAGTGCGTGTTTGAGTAGGTGTACACTTTAAGTGATAAATACACACAGAGACGTACGTTAAAGAGATGGGTAGACTTTTACAAATCATATATATACAGACAGATGGATATATAGATAGACAGTTCACTCTAGCTTTCTTGTCGCCACTAATGTAATTTATACGCATTTTTCATTAATCTGATTTTTTTTTTCGGGGGGGGGGGGGGGTCTTACACCCTTAATGATAGTTAATTTGAGACGATAATGTTGTTACGGATTATGTGATTTTCAAATCGCGTCTCTAAACTTGTTTAATAATTTATTCAGTTTTCTCAGTTTTCAAGCAAGGTCGACAACAAAATTTGGGATAAAGAATAAGTTAAAATAGAATAAGAATAAAAGAGGTAAAGATGGTTTGAATACAATAATGATATACCAGTACCTTGCATAGAAGTGCACCCTAATTTGCATATGTGTTGATCCAGACATTTCCAGCTGTAAACACGTCTCTCTCTCTCTCTCTCTCTCTCTCTCTCTCTCTCTCTCTCTCTCTCTCTCTCTCTCTCTCTCTCTCTCTCTCTCTCTCTCTCTCTCTATCTCTCTTTCTCTCTCTCTCTCTCTCTCTCTCTCTCTCTCTCTCTCTCTCTCTCTCTCTCTCTCTCTCTCTCTCTCTCTCTCTCTCTCTCTCTCTCTCTCTCTCTGCCCCCCTCTCTCTTTCTCTCCCTGCTTCCCTCTCCATCTTTCTCTCCCCCCCCCTTCGAACCAAGGGTATAACCTCGCCCACTTGCCTCGTCAGCTAATCCTCCCATCAGCCAATCATGAGCGGCGAATGGGTGCTTGTTGAAGGCGCTTGATCAGGCACCGAATATGGGGGGTTGAATGAGGGGGGGCTGGAGGGAGGTAGGGTAGGGGAGGGGGTATGGTACCTGACTCTATTCTTCTGCTTCTTTGTGTTTGTGATAGAACTGGAACTTGTTTTTTTTTTGGTACTGGCGAGACTATCTCTTGTGCTGAAAGGTATATGTGTATTTATTTTTCTTTCTTTCTTTCTTTATCTGCTTGTTTCTCATCCATGTGTTTGTAATGTGTATATATATATACATATATGTGTATATTATATATATATATATATATATATATATATATATATATATATATATATATATATATATATATATATACATATATATATATTATATGAAGAGACCTTTTGCACTTTATATTTGCTATTGTTGCAGGTTTTTATGTCATGCTTGTTCATGTCATCAACACCACCACCACCACCCTCGCCGTCATCATAATTACCAATATCGTTGTTTCAGTCGTTTCGTTATTATTGTAACTGTTGCTGTTTTGTCATTGTTATGTGTGTCTAGCTTTTCTGTAGAGACTCGCCACATTTGACAACATAATAGGAAGGCCAACAAGCGCCGAATCAGTGTAAGGTAACACTGTCGCGAACGAACAATGAAAGAGGGAAAGGGGAGGGGGGGGAGGGCAGAAGGGGGCGGGGCTAAGGGGGGAAGGAGGCGGAGAGTGGGTGTGTCCATATTAGGCCTAATCTTATAGCCTCTTGGAAGGACAGACGGACCTTTTTTTTATAAAAGAACGACCAGCAGTAGTTATTAGCTTCCTCTTGTCCCGTGTTCGCTATGGGACGATGGCCAGATACTGAGGCAAGGTTGGTGGCCGGGCGGGTGGCCGGCGGAACAGAGGCACTGGAACAAAAGGAGGGGCAAGATAGGAGAGATACGGGAGTTTCGGTTTGTGGCTATATCTGTATCGTTGCAAGCATGCATACACACACATATGCACAAACACACACACACACCCACACACACACAGACACACACACACACACACACGCACACACACACACACACACACACACACACACACACACACACACACACACACACACATATGCACGCACACACACACACACACACACACACACACACACACACACACACACACACACACACACACACACACACACACACACACACACACACACACACACACACACAAAAAAAAAAAAAAAAAAAAAAAAAAAATGTATGTGTATCTGTGTAATAAAAACGGCCACAAGAGAAACGGATTCGTGAAAAATCTTTCTGCTATGTCACTTTCATTTTACTCTGCGGTGGCCTTAAAGCATGAAATCCAAACGCGGAAAACCAGCCAATTAAAATTAATCGGCACCATTGCTCCCCACTGTGTAATGCTTCGAAGGTGTTCGCTACGTGCTCATACCGACACTACGATCGGTTGGCGGTTCGAAGTGCGGTGGACAGACGCTGCTCCAGACGCCGCTCTGCGCCCATCGCTCACCCGACTGAATGCCTGTTGTGGCGTATAATGCTCTTCCACGGACGCAAGAGGCAAGTGCAAGCCCACGCACGTCCGTTCCCTCGCCCGACGATCCTATCGCCCTCTGCTGCATGACCCTGGCGGCATCTCCCATCTGCATGACCCCCCCACCCCCCACCCCACCCCGAGTGCCCAACGGAGAGCCGAGGACGACGGTTCGCAGACATGAATGTATGGGCCGCGATCCACTTGCGCCTCACTCCTGTACTTACGCCGCCAGGGCAGAGTCAGCGGCGTGAAATCGGCTCGAAAGTGCAGCTGCGAGGCATGAGTATGGTAATGGCACAAGAGGTGTTGTAGGGATAAGGTCGGGGGGTGGCCGGGGCACTGTATAAATAGGTGCATCGGATAACAAGGGCACGAGGGAGGTCTTGCCCGACGGAGCAGTTATGGTTCATTCACTAAATAAGGGCTTTCTCGGTGAATGAATATAAGGAAGTCTCTCTCTCTCTCTCTCTCTCTCTCTCTCTCTCTCTCTCTCTCTCTCTCTCTCTCTCTCTCTCTCTCTCTCTCTCTCTCTCTCTCTCTCTGTCCGTCTGTCTGTCTGTCTCTTCTGTTCGCGCATTAACATCAATTAATAATTCGGTTACACACGTGGCAATTCTTCAGGGTCAATATAAGCAGATATTACCAAGTCCCTTTATGAGCCTCTGATAACTAACAGCCCCTTTCCACTTTTACCTTCCCCTTCCTTCCCCTTTACCCCTTCCCCCTTCCATCCAACCCCGTCCCACCCCCTCCCCTTTCCCCCCTTCCTCCTTCCTCCGCCTTATCCCATCCCCATTAACGGCCCATTATCCCACAGGCGAGTTTTAATAGCTATTAACTAAGGATAATAAGAATAACACGGTAACATGTTATGCTAATATCCTACGGCAGGGAGGCTGGCATCTCTGCTTCGCCCTCATCTCGGGAAGGGGGGAGGGGGAAGGGGGAAGGGGGAGAGGAGAGGGATGAGGAGAAGGGAGTAAGAGAGATGGAGAAGAGTGGTTTTAGGTTGGTAGGAGGGAGGGGAAGAGGGGTGAGGGGAGGAGACAAGAGATATTAGGGGGGGGGGGAGTGTAAGAGGGGCGATAGGGAGGAGGGAAGAGGGGTGAGGGTGAGGGGCGTTGGGTGGGAGGGGAAAGGGGGGAAATAAAAGAGGGAGAGAAGTATGAGAGAAGAAAGTGGGCGTCAGGTAGAAGGGGAAGGATATTGGGGAAGAGTAAGGACATAGATTAGCATGGGGAGGCAAAGAGTATTTGGTGGTACGAAAGGGGAGAGGGGGAAAGATGGGGTAAGTTAGGACGGGAATATTGGGGAGGAGAAGAGGTGGGAAGTGGAAGGAGGAAGAAGAAGAAGAATAAAAGAGAGAGAGAGAGAGAGAGAGAGAGAGAGAGAGAGAGAGAGAGAGAGAGAGAGAGAGAGAGAGAGAGAGAGAGAGAGAGAGAGGTAAAATAAAGCCAAAAAAATAAGAAAATGATAAGAAGAAAGTTAGGAAATAAGGAAAAAAGTATGCGATGCATGGTGGGAGGGTTGAATATGTTGATAAAAAAAAAACAGGGACAGGCAGAGAATAGGTCATTATATGAGACAGAAACAGATAATTAGAAGAGACAGACACAGGGGATTAAAATAGACAGAAACAGAGAATTAGAAGAAATACACGATGACATAGAAAACTTTAAA